ACAGAGAGAGAGACGGACAGAGAGAGAGAGAGACAGACACACATACACACAGACATACCTAGAGACAGACACACAGACAGACAAACAGACACAGACCGACAGACACACAGACAGACAGACAGACAGACAGACAAACAGACAGAAAGACAGACAGACACGCAAACAGACAGACACACACACACACACACACACAGACAGACAGACAGACAGACAGACACGCAAACAGACACAAACACACACACACACACACACACACACACACACACAGAGAGAGAGACAGAAACACGCACACTTTGGGTTAAATACAGATATACAAAATAAAATCAAAATGAATGTTTTTAATAGCTGTGTTGTGTTATTGTCTGTTTTAGTGATTTGATTCTCTTGTAAAGCAAGTTAAGTGCAAACCCTAACAACTTCAGTTTCTTAATATAAAAGTGTTATTTAAAAGTTGTAGTATACTAATTTGAATGTACCTCTCTCTGTGCTCTCTGGTGACTCAGCTCTTCTGTCTCCTCCATCAGTTTGTCTGCAGAAGGAAACGTGTTCACCGTGAGCTGCTTATTAAACCCTTATTATTAAAAAGCTGATTTACTGCGACGATGATTTACCCAGATACTCCTGCTTCTCCTTGGCCAGCTGCAGCCCCTGAGCCTCCAGACTCTCGATCATCGCCTCGCCCAGCTGACAGTTCTTCCACGTGCTGACGGAGAAACACAGGTTTTACTAAAGAAATCGGACATTTTAAACACAACCAGCATGTTAACAGATGAATTCCTTCCTTTTCGGGATGACGAAACATCAAAGATTGGAGGAGTTGCCTTTAAAACCTGTAGAGACATTCATATAAGATGAATTCAACAGTCTCTAGGGTTCCTCTGACTTCTCTTCTGGCTCTAAGGAGATCAGATTCATCGTGAAATCTGTAATAATATTGTTATTTTAACATCTTTGTAAAACGTTGGTCTCGAGTGTTTTTGATTCAACAAGGTCAACTTTGGATATTCTTGTTTCTTTGTCTGATAATCCATCAAAAATAACCCAGCAGGTCAACATCTACAGCAGCGGCACCCAACCTGTGGGCCGTTGCAAGTGGGCCGCCAAATAGTTAGCAAAACTTTAGGATTTGCGTGGAAACCGTTTCATTATTACGATTTTTTTTTTTTTATTCGAACATCCTTTCTCTTTCTCGATCCTCCTTAGCAACGGTCATCCCAGTCCTTGACAGCGGTCTGTTCTACTGGATTAACAACGTGTCACATGTTCTGAATCGACCAATCAGAACTTGATTAAGCCTCGGTATTGTTTATGGTTGAATGTGGGCCGCTAACATTTTTTAGATTCTGAAGTGGGCGCTGAGTTGAAAAAGGTTGGGAACCGCTGACCAACAGCATTCATAGTTCCCGGGGGATGAATTCTCACGATGATGATTGTTCGCGAAGAGATAAGCAGGTTTTATTATTTAAAAAAAAAAAGTAGATTAAGAGTTTGTCTACTCACACTTTCCCAGAGTCCTGCAGCATCTCCATCCACTGCAGCTGCTCCCCCACCGACTCAGCCGCCAGCACGATGGTTCCCTGAGGACAACAACACACATCAGGGGCTAATAATAAAGGAGAGACAGCAAGCGCATTTCGTGGCATCTGCAGGCAGTGGCAAGTACTTCCGGCAACTATCTGTGGCAAGTACTTCCGGCATATGCCACAGATGCCACAACTTGCCGAGGCATCTGCCGCTGCTCAACGGGAGTTGCCACAAGATGCCAGAGTAAGAGAAGGTTTACTGTAGCTGCCACTCGCCTTCCGTGGCAAATGCTGCTATTTAAACCCGTATTTATCGTGTAAAATGTCGCTGTTTAGGCATGACTTTATCGAACTGATCTGTACACAGGACTGATGATCTGTAAACAGGGTTGGGTTGTAACGGAATATGTAACGGCGTTACGTAATCAGAATACAAAAATCAAGTAGCCTAACTGTATTCAGCTGACGTTACATTTGAAAAACAACTAATCTGATTACAGTTACTTTCGTAAACCTGAAGTGAATACATTTTGGAATTATTGGTGGAAAAGTTTCCTCACAAAATGTAATATTGATTAAAAAATAAAAAAGCAGGGTGTATGCAGGAATCCTGAAGTCACATGTAAGACCTTTTTTAAGACCCTTTCCATACGTTTTAAGACCTCATCGCCACTTTGAGTTGTAACCGGTTACCTTGGCGACACACTTTACCTCACATTTACTATATACATGAAATATACATAAATGAAACCCTCGTCTTACTGAGAAGTCCTCCAGGTTGATGACGATGGTGAAGGGCATCCCCATGTTGTCGTTAGCAGAAACCACACATCCTCCGAGAGGAATCACTCCCTGACAGAAACACATCAAACTGTCATCCACCAGCTGATTCTGCTTAAACACAGGTGTTGGGAAAATACTGAATGTCCTCTTCCAATATCAGAGTCCACATGATAACAAAGGTATCCCAACTGTAGCTGTGAACATGACAGGATGTGTGATTACCTAGAAGAGCATCAGGACTGTTTGAGGCATATGATAGCTATGTGATTAACATGATGATTCAGCCTCTATGGAGAGAGACATATGACAAGCATGATCATTTCTGACGTGGAGCTAATCTGAAGTAAACATTGAATACTGCTTTCTATTCCTCCATCTTGTGACTGTGGAACTCCCTCTCTTGGATATCAGCATGTGAAGGACACTGTTCAGGAACTAGTTGATGCTCTGTATGTGATGACTACTTCCATTCTGGAGAGGATCACAGATACATGGATCCT